TTACAAGAGTTGGAGAGATATATACCCTCCCAAAAGCAGAAAATGAAATGGGGAGCACATGATGTTGCTCATGTATCTGTATGGGCACATAAAAAGAAATTACACACAAGGACCAGCAGTAAAGCCTAACACTTTGTAACTCAATACCTTCCCCCAAGGGTCTACCTCGTCTACCTCCGGGTCTACCTCCCATAGCAGTTACATACATTTGATTTAGGGGAGTGCCAAATTGTCACCATTCAACAGGAATTTTAATTCAGGTGTAAGTGTCAGCCCAACAAAAGTTTGTTCAGTATTTCTACACTGGGAGGCAAGCCAATGAGTAGGAAAGTTACCCTCTCTAGGAATATAATTGATATTGATCTTTTCTCTGGGTAGTAGGGCTAATAACGTTCTATCTGGTTATATTCCAAGGGGGGCTTTCATCATGAAGGAGGATTTTAATGCAATTAGTAGAATCTGTTTCTATAATCAAAGGACCCATATGGCAGTAATAAGCAATTCTGATGGCCCAGTAGATAGCTATGAATTCAGCCTCCAGAGCATCCATTACCACAGCAGGAGCAGTGAATTATAGAATGGGAGAACCATGAGAGTTCTTGAAGATTCCCCCAAACAACCATTTGAGAAGCTGCCATCAGTGTTGACCTTCAACCAACCAGTAGGGGGGAATCCAAGGGATTAGTTTGAAACACTGAAGAAGAGGAGTATTGTTTCCTGGAGTCCAGTGCTTTATAACATTAGGGACGTGATGAAACTTGATCAATTTTTGAATATAATAGATACAATTCATAATCACAGATTTTGACCCTGAAAACTTCTCATCAAATTTGCTGTGGTTTCTGTACATCCATATGAACCAAGCCACAATACATGGTATCACCCAAAGGTTGTTGTTATGCCAATCTTTTCAGCTAGTAGAGAATTTAAGCCAGCTTACATTCTGACTATTAATATTCAGGAGCTTGATTAAACCTGACCAAATTTCTTGTGAGAGGGCACATGAGAAAAATAGGTGATCCAAGGTTTCTTCAGCAGCACAGCAAAGTGGGCAAATTGAAGGTCCTCTCAGCCCTTTCATCTTTAAAATATCATATGTAGGTAGTAAATAATGTCAGAGTCTCCAGCAGAAAAAGGACATAGAGGGAGTTAGGAATTTATCCCAAATGGCTTTACCCTAAGGTATCAGGTTCCAATTAAAGGAATGATGGTAAATGTAGGCTGATAATTT